ACTTTCCCTTGTTATATTTCATTAAATTTTCCCCGCTCAATTTAATAAGGACTGACTTTGAGTGCCTTGTTCTGTAGCACAAGCACTGCGCTACACTTCAAATAATGATTGTCCACTATTTTCAAATACGCTGTGCCTTCAAATTATGTTTTCATGCTGTTTAACATGTTCATATGTTTTCAGCTTATCAGTCTAGTTTGGGCTTTATTCACGGAGACTTGTAGAGTGAATATCTCTACCCCCATATCTGCTAACTGTAGTTTCTTCATAGCTTCTAAACTTGAATATTAGAATGTAGATTTTACTGTTTGACGAGAAATTCTGTCCTGAATACTACGTGGCTTTTTGAGGTATTGTCTGTAGCATATGGTGCAAAGCTGCAAGCAGACAAGCTTGGTGTTGTATTTGGATTCCTTCTAGGTCTGCCTTTTGTTAACAAGGCCAAATACTTCATTACCATAAAACACAGATTTATTCAGCTGTATTTCGTATTATTTATTCAGCTGTATTTTAAAACCAGACAGCTTTAGATTTTCTTGCTGGGAAACAGTAGCCTATGCTGATGAATGTTACTAAGCTATTGTAAGGTCTATGCTCTGGTCCTAGATGTTAGAATTCTGAAGTGTAGTGGTTGATAATTTTGTTTTCATGTAGAGAATAAGTGTTACTAAGTTCCCACCTTTTTGTTTTATTGAGAGGAGGAGGAGGAGGTTCAGGGTGGAAAGTAAGCTGTGGTTCTAATTGCCTGAGAGTGTGCCTTTTCCACCTCTAAAGGTGTGGGGTTGGTTGGTTTGGTTTTCTTTTGTTGTTATTAGTTTTGGGGGTGTTTATTTGTTTTTAATTCACTCTCAAGTGCCCGTTTAAATGTGATTAGAAAATTGCTGTGCCATAATTACGCTTCATAGTTTAGGCCTTAACAAATTGGGGGTTCCATTTAACTGTATTTCACTTCCAGAAACAGAATCAACTGCAGCATGATTCTTCATCCAATATATTGTACTCAGAATTATTATTTTAATGAGTTATTTTTCTTTCTCAATATCTGTTAGCTGGCGAGATTGAGAAGAAAAATAACAGCTTGAGCATTAACTGCTGCATTTGATGTACCATTTATTGACTTCCTGGAAAACAGGGTTAAGATGTGCCTCTCATACAGTAGACAACAACAGCATATATGAACATAGATAAATGATTAGAGATTAAAGCGGTTCCAGTCTCTACAAACATTACTGCTTGGTTTTGACTTGATGATGTACAATGTCACGAACTTGAGGGTAAGAAGCGTTTGTTAGGATTGGCCAAGCAAATGTTTAACCTCTGTGGGTTTTTTTTCACCTAGTTTCACCTACAGAGAAACTTGTACTGTCTCTTACAGTTTACTTGATGTTTATTAATTGCAAGATCGGTTAAACGTATACATATTATGCTGTGAGAATAATATTGCAATGTATGTTAGAAAACGATTTGGATTTTTATTTAAAGGTGAAAAGCATTCAATAAGTTAATTTATTTAGCTATCATTTGTGTATATCTATTGATGCATTGTTTTTGATCTGTGGAGTTGTGGGTCTTTATTTTTAGTAGCTGTAACATCATGCATCTTTCATTGTGTTACTTTTCTGCCTTTTTGTAAAAAGAACTTGCAACCATTTTTAAAACTTGTTTGAATATGTCTTACTTGAATAAAATGTGCTACTAAAAAATAGTTATACAAGTGTTATACATTCAGTATTGAGAAATATACTTCTAAGTTTCAGATAGCATTAGTTTTGGAGCTTTAAATAAAGGGATATTCATCTCTTGCAAATAAAGCTTGATAAGTTTATAATTCAGCCTTTAATGTGGTAGTGTTTTTTGGTAGTATATTCTTTGTATCTCCTTCTATACTCAGCTCAGACACTTTCACTAAGAAATCAATCCTTAGAAATTCTGATCTCATCTAATAAGCGTATATACCCTCTCACCTTCTCAAAAAGATCCCCAAACCCAATAATAATGGAAATAGGTGAGAACATGGAAAATTATGAGATTTTTTTTCCCTAGGAATCTGGCTTTTTCTGAAATGTGAGTGGTTTGGAATAGTCATATTGAGGCTTTTAATAAAATATTAACAGAAATGAGAAGTTTATTCAAATAAGGGCATTGTAAACTATTTTTGGCAGTTAATTTAATACAGCATTGTGATGAGTTAAGACCTTTGTACGGATTGCGAATGTTTTAAACATAGAATATGATTTGCTTTTTTTTGTTCATGCCGTTGCAGGAACAGCAGTCTTTATTCTTACAGAGATGATGTTCTGTGCTAATAGGTTACATTTTTTAACAGGACAGTACTTCTCAAGTATTAGAACTTGTTTTATTCTCAAGAAGTGATTTTTTTGACCTAGCTGGGCTGTCTCCTCTTTACGGAGCCATAGCAGTGGTGCCCCATGTATGTAACTTTACACCTGATCTTAATTACTTTTCTTCAGCAGACTGTAACTAGGTTACCATTCAGAGAGTGGCAATACAGAATAATAAAGATGCATGTTCAAACCAGAAACGTGTTGATTATTAGTCCTCTCGTGTTGAACTCTTTTTGTAAGCGGAGCCATAGCAGTGGTGCCCCATGTATGTAACTTTACACCTGATCTTAATTACTTTTCTTCAGCAGACCGTAACTAGGTTACCATTCAGATAGTGGCAATACAGAATAATAAAAATGCATGTTCAAACCAGAAACGTGTTATTAGTCCTCTCGTGTTGAACTCATTTTGTAAGACAAAAACCAGGATATGGATGTTTTTCAGATCTGGAAACTATTTTCTCTGACTTTCAAGGTTTCTGTGAAAGGAGTAGAAACAAGGAATAACATCAAAGTGAGACCATAGCGCGCTCTGCCAAATCAGAAGTCAAGCAAGTTTAATTTTTAAAGATGTCAAGCACAATTTAACTTACTTTGCAGATATTTACACTTACTAAAGTTCACACATAGCAGAAGTTTAGGTACTCTGCCTAATAAGTGTCCCAGTTTTTGCACAGAAAGCAATACTGTTAAGGAAAAGCAGCTTCTAAGATACATTGAAGTATTACAATACTTAAGCCTTTATTTGTATTCATTACTGCTAAACAGATATTTGTGTACAGAAGGAGATACACAGAATTTCTGAAGAGTGTAACAAATGCAGGTGAATATTTGAAACTTTGTTATTCCAATGTGAATTCAGAATGAATGGTTATATATAATTTATATTCATTCTAAACAATAATTAACAAAAATGTTAAATTTTAATTTGGAAAGACATAGCTAGCTAAAGCTAAATATCAGTTGAGTGTATTTTGAATTAGCATATAAAATAATATTGAGAAAGTAAGAGGGAGAGTGAATGAGTAACAGATGTTTTCATGTTGATCTTCTGAAAAAAATCAAAGTAGAAGAGGTGTTTTGCGGGAGGCCTTTAGCCTGAAAGATAAACAATACTTACGCATGCAGGTAGAGATATTTGACTAATATAAAACGTAGAGACTTATTTGCAAATAGATAGAAGGCAGATAGTGGGGTGTAGTGAATGAAATGTTTAGGTGAGAATTTGGAGATGTGGAACTGCAGTGTAAATAGTGCCCGTCAAGTGACTAGTCAGTAGTGTTGAACACCTGTAAAGCAAGTTGAAATTAAACAGCAGATCGTGATACAAGAGTTGTGTATTTCATATATGTGTGTGTGTTTGCACATGTGTGCGTGTCTTCATGCTCTTTTGTTTTTTAGCTGGGACAGTGTGTAGTAAATATAAGTTCTGTTGTAAACTCTGCTTTGCTTTTAAGCGTTGAATAATGCAGTTTTTCATCTGTTTGAATTATTACGTTGAGACTTAAAGAAACTATTTTGTTCTTTGTAGCTGAGCCAATAACGTTTCCACCTGGAGGAGGCAAGTCATTTATTATGGGTTCCGATGATGTGTTGTTAAGTGTACTGGGCCTTGGAGACCTTGCAGACTTGACGGTAACAAATGATGCAGACTATAGTTACGATGTAAGTGCAATTTTATATTAAAATTCTTTATACAGTTTAATCAATAATAGTTGGGTCTCCTCTCCCCAACCCCTTTACGTTACAGATACAGGGAACAGAAGTTTCATTAGCAAAAGCTATTACTTGGGAGAAGGAGGGAGCTCCTTATGAAGGGCTAAGTAATCTGGGTAATCAAAATTAAGTGAGGTGACTTGTTTGTTTTCTACTTAGATAACTTAATTCAAATTTTGTGCTTGGAGGAATGTGTTATGATGTAAAATACAGATTGATGTCTTAACTTGAATTCATTTGATCAAAAATGGCAATTCTACACTGAGAGAGAGTATTGAGAAGTCAGGGCAGGAAACACAAATGTTGATATTAACTGACATTTTTTCTCTCCCCTTTGTGTTTGTACAGTGTTAATAGCATAGATTTGGTATGGTGGTATATTTTAAGTGTAAGCTTTTTAGGGTCTATTTTTTTATTATAATCCAGAATGTTCTGACATTCCTTTGACCATATTCGTTAAGCTTACTACCAACAGAGTTATATGAATTTTTCGTTGGCTAGTAACGTTTGATGGCTGGTTAGGGAAGCACGCAGGTAAGTCTTACATACTGTATCATATTTCAGGTGTTTTGTGGTTTTGGACTGTGATTGTTTTTCATAATAAGGTGAGGTACCTCTCTGATTCTGTCACTTTTAAGGTTAGATACACATCTCCTAACTATGCTGTAAGGAATCCGTTGACTGCAGGGGCAAGGAACAGCTTCCTTCCCCCGTGTCTTTGTTTGTTTAGCTCTGGTGAAGTTTCTTTCAATCTGGTTTGGTGGTTTACAAGGCAGGATGAGTAAGTTGCTTTCCTGCGTTCCCATACAGACCAACAAAACTAAGGTAAAAAGGGATTTTTGTTAGGTTAGATAGAGCAAATATCATAAAGCAGGCATTTCCAGTTCTGTTCATTCTACTCATCTGTTTAGCAATTTGTTGTGGTGCGTGATTTGTATGCCTTTTATTGTGCCCCAAGTTTAAAGAGATTGATGTCCTAGAGGTTTCCTGGGGTACGTGAAACGTTCTGTGTCTCCTAGACCACATCTCCTGCCCAACTCCTGTGAAACGTTGGTGGGTGGTTTCAGGACGGGGGACGGGGAACAACAACTCTTGCTTTTGGTAGGCCCTATTATTCTAAGCTTCTGCTCTGTGGCTGTTTGACAGGGGACTAGGATCAAGGATTCAGCTCATCCCTCTTCATCCTGTTTAGTAAAGTCCACCAGAGTTCAGGGAAAAGGGAGAAGGAGCTGGTGAAGCTGTGTGGTTCCAGTCCCACAACTTCCTTTACCTTTTGGCATTTACAGTAGAACACTAAGACTCAGTGGGGCACTGTGGGTCCTTGTCTTCTATTTGGAGAGTCTTTTGAGATGTCACACTTCAGAACATTGATTGACAGTGTCTTATTTTACTTCTGTTCCATTATACCCCTGGCCCATTTTTGAATATCGCATTTATCCTTTCTAATCAGCAAATCCCTTTTCCAAGTCTTTGGCTGTGTTTTTCTGGTTTGTTTGTGGGATTTTTGTTGGTGGATTTGTTTTGGGTTGGTTGGTGGTTTTTTGAAATACACTGCTAGTTAGCTTTTTTTTTTCTTGGAGTTTTCAAGGATCACTTTTTGAAGATGTGTCAATTCTCTTAGTCTTGCAGTAAGAATATCAAGATGCATTGGAAATATGGATAAGGAAAAGAATTAAACATGAAAAAATATCAGATTATATGTAACTAGATTTCTAGGAAAATGTCTTCTAAAATAAACTAAGGTTTTAAAGCTATACCTAAAATAGGACACGTATCTTGCTTTTGGTAACTTCTGTAAAAGTACCTTTAGCAGACTCCTAAATTGCTGAAAACAAAATTACAATTGCAACAGCCAAAAAAGATTTAATGAACTCTTTCTATTTTTTTTGAAAAATAAAGATGACTGTGTTCAGTCCTGGTTTTCTTGAATGACTCATCACAGCTGTAATAGAAATCAATGGTGATGGTCGCACCCAAAGAATCAAGGTCTTATGTCTAATCTGGGACATAAAAACATGTACTAAAATTAGCTGTTGCTATTTCAAATGTTTGACTTTAATTTCTCCAAGTCCCAGATCACCACAAGTGCATGAGACAGAATGAGTTACCCAAGTGGATGGATATGTTACATAATGAGAATTAGAAATATTGAGGGAGTCTGCTAGAAGAATACTATTTTATTCTTTCTGTCCCCCTCCCACCACTTCAGGGAAGTCAGTAAGTATGTAGCTTGGGCTGAAATATTTCAAGTTTAGTGCAGAACTCCAGAATTCCACTCCATGAAACAAAATACTATTCTTTTTATGAAGGGGAAGCTTGTATATAATATGGAGTGTAGTGTGAAATAACTTCAGTCTCAATAAAAATATTGTCGTATTCAGTATATTCTGAAGGAGGAAGATTGGAAGTAAAATGCTTTGTTGCAAAATGTATTTTTTGTAAACCCCCTTTATAATTACTTGAAGGGAAGAGAGAAGTACCTGCGCATGTATTTCCTCTTATGTTGGAGGCTTAGGACAGGTGGGCTGTAGTCTTTTAAAGGTCTGCTCTCTGTATGATATAAATTGTATTCAGAGCTCTAAATTGGTCTCTTGCAGTCACTAGAAGAGTTGCCAGAAAACCTGGTGATCCTTCAGTTACCTATAATTAATATCAAGCAGCTGTGTCCTTGTTTGTCCCTAACCTTTGACAAACTGTAATTTTTGTATTTTAGCCTAAAAGTCTATAGGTGAAGAGTATGAACACAATATAGAGTACGTTCACAATATATAAATGTAAAGTTTATATATATCATTTCACATAGTAACTAAATTATTTTCTCACAAATATATTTAAAACTCATTAAAGACTTCATATTTGTATGTAATGTTATTTTTTAAATCAGTACAATTGTATATTGAAATTTGGATAACTTATTTCTGTGTACATACCTTCACTTGTAGAAGTATTCGGGTTACTCGTTTGAGGAAGATCACTCACTACATACCTTAAGCTCCTATTTATTGTGTTTAAGTGATAAATGAGCTTTTGACAGTTGCAATCTTTTCCTTGGGTGCAGACAACATGATAAGCAATGAAGCCTTTATCTTCAGGGAAGGAGAACTTAAGTAGCAGTGTACAAAAGGATTAAAACCCGTTTTTGAAAATGATGCTACTTGTCTGTGTATCCAACATTGCACTCCATTCCACTCTGGGATGAAAGAAACTATTACAATAGAAAAATTTGCAGACTATCTCACGTTGCCAGAAAGGGGAGTTTTAGATGCGTACAGACAGATCAGTAGATAAATTTAAACTTAAGATGGAACATGTATTAGCTGAATAAAAAAAAAAAATTTCCTAAAATATGGAGAGATACATATTATGCATGTTTTTAAACCCAGCATAAAATTGCTGCTTTCCTTTTTTTCGTTTGTTTTCCTTTAAGCTGCCAGCAAATAAAGATGCCTTCCGAAAGACATGGAACCCTAAGTATACGCTACGCAGTCATTTTGATGGAGTGCGGGCATTAGCTTTTCATCCTGTAGAGCCTGTGCTGGTTACAGCCTCTGAGGACCATACTCTAAAACTTTGGAATTTGCAGAAAACAGTTCCTGCCAAAAAGCAAGTATATGGGTTTTCGTGAAACACCAGTTGTGTTTTAAATGCCTTTGAAATTTCTTAAGCTTTTAAATGTTTTTCAGTAGAAGTTTCACAGAGTGACAACTCTTCCTTTCTGTTTCAGGAGTGCCTCTTTAGATGTAGAACCCATCTACACATTTAGGGCCCACATGTAAGTGTGTGTCGTAATTAAGGCATGGTGAATGTATTGTTGTTACCTCATGGATTCATAAGATGCTTCAGTGTAAAAGCCGCAAATGTATTCTGGTTTTAGGTTGTGTGGGCGAGGCCCATTATACTTTGTAAAAACAGGTGAATACTGAGTTACTCTCGTGACTTGCACAGTCCCAGAAAAACGGGCAGTGGCAAACGACGTTAGTTGCAATGGAAAGGAGAGGTATTGGAGAGTGATAGTGAAATCACCTGAGTGATGCCTGTGCCTTGGACTGCGGATTTTGTATATTATATGTGGAGAAGATAAATAAGGTAGAATTTATTAGACTTACATAGTATATTCAGATACAGGTCTGAGAAAGTCCAGGGTGCAATCATCAGGACCGGAAGAAACACCCTCTTGAGTCTAGGTTCAACAAGTGAAAAATCAGGAGATCGAGCAAGTGACTAAAACAGTTCTGATTTTTTGAGGGGCTTGAACAAGAGTAAGAAATAAAATTTCACTGCAAGGATAGGCCATAGTAGTAGATAGGGCATGGATATTAATTCATGCATTTGCCTCTCTGGGCTGGGGGAACTTGGAAAACGGTGAGATATTTGGTATAATCAAAAAGTTGATTAACAGGTGAATAAAGTTTTGATAGCTATAGTCAGTTCTGTAGTGTGAATTCCTTTCGCATTTCACGTTTACCTCTTTTGTGTGTAGATAGTGGTTCATTACACACCATAACAAATACTCTCATTTCTGATAGCTGTCCAGCCCAAGACGGTGGGAAAACAGATTGCACAAACTAGTCTGAAATAAAAAAGCTCTTTCTTGTGGCCGATGGTGACAGCGAGCTAACGTTAACATTAAACATTGTTAGTAAAACTTGTAAGTTCAACTGGGACTTGTAAAAGTCTTAATGATTTTTAAACTCGCATTAACTGCTTTATAAACACCTGAGTTTCAGTTGCTAATTTTGAATTCTGCTTCCTTCCAATAAGAAGGCAAGCCAAAAATGTGCAGTCCCAGCCCATAGCCAGTCACAGTAGTTTGAGTGTACTTTGCTTATATAACTAAAGATCCAGTGTCCAGCCCAGTTAGCAGGTAAGACTCATGAGAGCTCTTGGGTAAGCGTGGAAGTGGGGTAACACTTCCTGTGCTGGCCTCAACCAGGAGGAGGAAAAAATAAATAGATTAGTAGTTGTATTACAAGATCTACATATGCTATCGTTACCCTTCTTCTTCCCTTAAGCCATTTACCGGGTAGAATGTATTGTCTTATTTTTGCATGTATTAGCTGAAGTGTAAAACATTCTTCTCTAGGACTGGATGAATAATTTGTTCTGATGTTTAAACACAAGTGTTCTTTTGAATGATAGAGGGTCCAGTTTGAATTCTCCTTCAGATCTATGTCTAAACTTGGGATATTATTTGGACTTTTGTTACTGAATACCAAAAAGTGAGGCTTGGGGATGTTTTGCTGCAGAACTGATCTCTGCCCTGGGACTTCCAGTCAGACTAGTAACACAGTAATTTTACTGTTTTTCCCCTCACGCAGGCTTTGAGCAACATTGCTTTTCAGCCCAGCTTTGTTCTCCACTTTGCCAGATATGTAGATGGATTCAACTGATAGTCTTCCTTTTCGTTGTCTTCCAATATGTAATTCTGGTTTGCTTATCTGCACTTAAACAACTCCTTACATCCTGAGCACAGCCTGGCAAGTGAGCCGGGCATCTAATTTTAGGGATATTTTTTTTTTACAGTATAGTTAAACCTGACTTAGTAGTGTGTCCAGAGAAGTAGACTTGCTTCTTCCTTTGGGCTACACTTTGTGCTTGTCTGGTATCACGGCAAACAGGTCGAAGAGGTTAAACCAGTAAAAGTCTAACCTTGGCCCAAAAGTACTCTTTCCAGGGGCACTTTTCTGAACCAATTTACTGGGGCACAGGTTATTGTCAGTACCAAAAATAGGATGAGGAAAGAGCTGGAGGAGAGGGCTACAACCACCTCGTTGGCACAGTGAGCCACTCTAAAAAACTCACCATTTGTAGGAATAGATAGTGTTGCTTCTGAGAAATGAGATGGTGTTCTTTGAATTGCTTGAATTTGGATAGTTTTAGTTCAATTGTTACAAATATCTTGATGGAGATTGGTAGTACTTGTTGAGACTTAAAGGTTTTACAGAATTATTTCTTTGGAGTCAGAATTTCTTTTTAACTGCTTAATCTGATCTCTTGTTTTGTTTTTTGGTTTTTGTTGTGGTTTTTTTAAGTAGATAGTTAATTTTTCACTTCTATCCCGTAGGTCTTTGGAGTCAGAATTTCTTTTTAACTGCTTAATCTGATCTCTTGTTTTGTTTTTTGGTTTTTGTTGTGTTCTTTTTTGAGTAGATAGTTAATTTTTCACTTCTGTCCCGTAGGCAGTATAAATAAACTTCTTTTCTTCTGTCTTCCCTTAGTGGACCTGTATTGTCATTGGCAATTAGTTCCAACGGAGAGCAGTGTTTCAGTGGTGGTGTTGACGCAACCATCCAGTGGTGGAACATGCCTAGCCCTAACGTGGATCCATATGATACCTATGGTAAGTACCTTTAAAAAGATAAAAAACTTAGGACCATTGTCTTCAACATTAATTTTCTGCTTGGTGCTAATCTGTTTTCTAGAGCTTTTGTGAAATGTAACTGCTGTTTATCCACTCAATTATGTTTTCACTTTTCAGGTGTGTTAAACAATTATTTATTCCCACTTGTGTTGGTGACTTACTTGTGTAGAACTGTAATAGGAGGGCTGGCAAATTCTGAGGTTTAAACAGTAAAGAAAAAATCATAACTTTTTAAAGAAATATGCTTACTACCTTGAACTAAAATTCCAAATTTTCAAATTATTATTTATTTCTCCTGATAGGAGTTTCTCAAAAAACTGATATAAGTGTACTCAAATTCTATATCCTATGTTTCTGATTTGTATGTCAGTTCCCATAACCAATGTTTCTAAAATGAAGGAGCTAATAACTGCTTAGAAAACAGGGCATCACTCTCCTGTCATTGATGGTGATCAGTGTTTGGTGTTTAACATAATTGTAAGGGTGCAGTTCTATGGTTCACTGAGGTTTTAATGGGACAGAGTCAAGAATTCTTCGTCTCTCTCTTGAGTCACTGTAATGAGAGAGCTAATACAGCCCTCAGGCTGCCTAATCTGTGGCAGTGAGATGAAGAAGGAAGGGAAGCAGTGTCCTCTTGCACTGGTTTAGGAAAACTGCTACACCCTGTCCCTTAAAAGCAATATATAGGTCAAACTGTGTCCCAGCTAAAAATTTATTCAGTATAGTCTAATCACTAAAAATGACCCCATTTGTTCATGCAGGTAGGATCGTTGGTGTAATGTTTGTCCTCCCTAAAGCAAGACTGATTCGTTTCTACCTTTTCTGCAAAACTAAACTTTAGTGATTTATCTGGCATTATCCCTTTCCATTTATCTTCTTCTCTCACTTCTCTACTCAAGCCTGATAGTGAATAGGTGAATAAACCCTCTGTAAAACAACCATAAACTCTCAGGAAGAAGAAAATAAGAATGTGTTTCCCTGATCCACAACAGAAATCATCTTGTTTTAATTATTATTGTGCCCAAGAGTTTTTGAGTGTGCCTGTGTCAGCAAAGTATGTCAAGTAAAAGCAGCGTTAAGCGTCCGTGTACCAGTGGATAGCTGGGTGGGTTGGGTGTAAGGGCTGTCACCAGGCAGCTCCAACAGGGTGAATTTGGAGGGAGTAAGCAAGTGCCTCAGAGAGGAGGTGGTAACAATCATTCTGGATAAAGGGACGTAGTTGTTTGTGGATGTTGTTTTGTTAGTTGGTTTGGTGGCAGGGGGTGGTGTGGGTTTTTTTCTTTTTTTTTCCTTGTTTGCTTGTTTTATTTTTCTTCAGAAAGATGGCAGTGGTTCTGCAAAATTACCTCCTCTGTAATGTTCTAGCTGTTGCTTAAACAGGAAGGGCTGGAGGGGATACATGACAGGTATATGTGGAATTTAATTTATACTGAGGTGTAAGAAATACTTATTTAATGTTTCTTCACTAAAACAGTTTCATTTCTGAACTTCTTTTTTTTTTTTCTTCCAGAGCCAAACGTTCTAGCTGGCACATTAGTTGCTCACACAGATGCAGTCTGGGGTCTTGCTTACAGCGGTGTAAAGAATCACTTACTGTCTTGTTCAGCAGATGGCACTATTAGATTATGGAACCCACCGGAAAAAATGCCCTGTATTTGCACTTACAATGGAGAGAAAGGTAGGGGTTTGCGGTGGTTTTGAAAATCTGTAACGAGGCAGCTGATGTTGCATCCAGGCTCATTATCTCCATTTATCAAAACGTATTTCTAATGAAATGCATTACTTTAAAGAATGGAGTCAATTTCTTCTTTAAAGTATGAATATAAAACAAACTAAATGCTTAAACTTGCAAGAATTTAAATGTTTCACTCTTTCTAAAGACATTTTCCTCTCATTCTAGAGCATGGAATACCTACATCAGTTGACTTCATAGGTTGTGATCCTGCTCATATGGTGGCATCTTTTAACACTGGCAGCACAGTCATCTATGATTTAGAAACATCCCAGTCAGTGGTAATGCTTTCATCACAAATAGAATCCGGTAAGCAAAGTTCTTTTATATCAAAATATCCATCTCGGATGAGGTACTTTTACCAAAGGTTTCTCATACGGTGAAGTAAATGAAAAGGTTCCACACCTCTCCTGCCTCGTTTGGAAGTTGTTTAGGTTCTTAAAGATGCTTGGAACAGACATAGCAGATAAGCTTAGCAAAATTTGAAAGCAGTAAGAGATAGTGAAAGCAAGGTTTTGTTCTCTAAGCTAGGGTTTCTCAAGATTCAATTGTCTGAATTACATATTAAAACACAGGTTTTGTTACATAGCTTTGACATGGAGGATATTAAGATAAGTAAATAAGTGAATTAAGCAGAATATTCCTTCATTATAGAATTCTGCACAGCTTGTGATTAAACACTGTCTCCTGTGGAACCTTTAAAATTAGAAAATCCGTTGCTACAAATAAGGTGCTACAAGGATGAAGCTGTTCAAGAATTGAGTGTATCTGTTGAAACTCTAGATAGAGGAGCCTTCTTTTTTGAACCTATAGAAGTGTTCCATAAGGAAAACCTCCAGTTCCTGCTCGTTCTTTACTGTGAAGTGAGATCTAAAAGAGTAATGCGAAGGGAGAATTTGTTTCTCCTCTCCAAGTAGTCTAGTTTACTTCGTGATTATACTTACAGTGTTAAGTATGTTTTTATAGAAATACTTCACAGATTACAAAACTGTAAAAGCTGTCTGCTACATAGCTTTTGCAAAAACTGGCATTTACAGTGAGAGAGAATATTGGAGAAACACCTTTCTTAGTTACAAGAGAATCTTAAACTCAATCAGCAAAAATCAAGCACAGAAATAAAGGGGATAAGCCTTAAAACACTGTCATACCAAGATAAGAAAGTGTTCTAAAGTATCCTGAAAACTTCTAAAGAGATTCTAAACCATTCATTGTATCTTTAAATTGAAATAAGACAGAATCTAGTGGGTCAGGTTGACTTGATTTCTATATTTTTTTTTCTTTGCCAAGCTATATCTTTTCTGACGTGGTATGAGGTGTGTGCTAAACATATCATAGAGTCCTAGACTGGCCTAGGCTGGAAGGGACCTTAGAGATCATTTAATCCAACCTCCCTGTCATGGGCAGGGACGCCTCTCAGCTAGATCAGGCAACACGTGGGATGCCACAGTTTCTTTCTGCCTGGTTGGTGCGGCGCTGCAGTACTTGCTTGGTTTGTTTCCTGTCTATCTCAAGAATCTTTAATGTGTATAAACCACTTGTACAGCTTTAACCTTAGGGTGCATTGGCTAGAGTCTACCTGGCTTGGTCTCATCCTGTAAAGCAAGAACCTATTATTTATTTCTTAGGAGATTCATTGATGTGTTTTCTAAATTGTTAGTTAATGTAGTAAGCTGAAGTGTAGTGTTAAAATATGCTCATTTTAACTTTAACCCTTTCTTTAAAGCAAATAAATGTATTTTTTAAAATTTTATTTTCAGGTGTACAATCAAATACTCATATTAACAAGGTAGTAAGTCATCCCACACTTCCTGTAACTATTACAGCACATGAAGATAGACACATCAAATTTTTTGACAACAAAACGGGTAAGGATAAAAAGAATTTATGTGCATGAATGTGTTTAAAGTAAATCTGAGTGGACATAGGGAGAATCCATTTGTAAAAAACTTACTAGTGTTGCAGTTTTACACAATAGAGAACTTTTAATATTTGTAAGATTAAATGTCTTCAGAACCTATTGTGTGAAATAGTGATACTGTTGCAACTGTGAATGAAGAAAAAAGTTCAGAGTGTTTAAGATGAAGGATGATGAGGAAGAACTGAAGATCTTAACAGGCTTAAGAGCAGGCAAATTAAATTCCATGTGGATAATTGTGGAACGATACATGTAAGGAAAACCAGACTTTATATTATAAAAATAATGGGCTGCCTTCTTTATTCAAGGTAAAACCTTGAATTTATAAGAACAGGTTGGATGAAAATGCCCGTTGGTTGCTTAGCAGTCAGATCAGCAAAACGAGTGTTAGGAGGAAGGAAAGAAAGTACCAACAAGAATCATTATTAATACCTTTGTGTGAATTCTTAGTGTACTCCAGTTTCCCTTATCTCAAAAAGGATATAGCCAGATTAAAATGTTTCAGAGAATGGTTAAAAGGATGATCAGAAATCTTTCAGTAGCTTTTAGCTTCCTCAGGAAGAATCTTCAAAGCTAGGTAGGCTGTGGGCTGTGATTCTTCAGGAAGACAGACACGTTCTTCATGTTGGTCGTGGTCTTACAGGGATTTATTTGCTCTCTTTTCCAATGCATGAACACCCAGTCGTTTTAGGATTGGTCTTCATTATCATTGCTGCCAGTAAAGATACCCGATGGATAAAACAGTGCTTGCAATGGAAATGCATTTTGAGTGTTGTGTGTCATTTACCTGTGCGCTTATACAAGTGTCTGCAGTTGAAACGTAGCATTTTCTATTGTATTGTACCATTCAGACCTTATTGGAATCTACGTAAGTGTGTTACATTTAAGAGGATGGTGCATTTAAGGGGAACATTATTTTTAAAAGAAACACTTCTTCACAGGAAATTGCCTGTTTATTTTGCTTTTAGGTAAAGTGATCCATTCTATGGTTGCTCACTTGGATGCTGTTACAAGTCTAGCTGTAGATCCTAATGGAATCTATTTAATGTCTGGAAGTAAGTTGTTGATTTTTTTCATATTCTCTATGCTCCATAAATTTTGCGTTTTTGATGCACTCAAGTGTGCAACAGATCTAACTTTTGTCTTTTTTTTTTTTTCTTTCCTTAAACAGGCCATGATTGTTCCATTAGGTTATGGAATTTGGACAGCAAGACATGTGTGCAAGAAATAACAGCTCATAGGAAAAAGCTGGATGAGTCCATTTACGATGTAGCATTTCATCCATCAAAAGCGTATATTGCCAGCGCAGGAGCTGATGCCCTTGCCAAAGTGTTTGTGTGACAGCAGAACAAACCTGCGTCACAACAGCAGGTCTGTTTGGACAAAAAAGAGGGAATGCGTCACTGCCATCTATGATAAGGTTACCGATAAGACACTACATCTGATCTGCCTGGGTGAAGGCTCTCGGGGGGGGCAGGTATAAGCTGGTGAGAAGTCACCACGTCTGGAACAATGTCAGGCTCATTCATTTAACTGTAATTACTGTATTGGGGGGAGGGGGGGAGAAAATCAAAAAAGAAAACCAGTATTTGTAGCCTTGACTGGATATGAACTGAGCGTATGTCTGTTCTTTAGGTGTCTTTAAGCAAACGTGGAGTCTGATCTTACAAAAGACTTTTATTTTGGACTCTGTGTGCTGCCTTAGGGTTAGGAATGTGGTGCTCTTGTGGGGGGAAGTGAGCTCCAAGAGTAGCTTTCTTTTCATCTCTTAGTAATCTTCTGTTTATCAGTTGAATGCCACAGATTCCCCTTTTAAACTTTTATTTTGCTTTAAAGAAAAGGAAATTTAACTTAAAATATTTTAGCATTAGTTGCACAAAATGTTTGGATAAAATTCTAGTTTTTATAAGTCTTTTTATATATTTAGCCTGTCACAACAGTGCTCAAGATTGTATTGATAATGTTTTTCTGCATTATAGAACCCTAAAACACAGAGATCTCACTGACCCGCTGCCGTGTAACCACACTCTTCCCTTCTTTTGCCTAATACAGCTCAGCTAAGTCCTTGCATAAGGATGCTAATTCATCATCATCGCATAACTGTCTTCATAAATAAAGGACTGTAAAATGTGTTCAGATGAAACACGGAGGGGTTAACACCCCCAAATGAACTCTTAAAAAAAAATTTAATCTTGGCATCCTATCACTATGTGATATTTTGTACATCTTACTGTATTTACGAGTTTATTTATCAAGGATTACCCATCTTGCTAATGGCCTATTGTTATTTATTTCACTTTTTGTTGGTCTTTATATCCTTTTATGTAGTGTGTTAAAGGGCCCTGTATATCTATTATGGCACTCTTTGAACAGTTTGAAATAGATAAAAAACTGAGACATTTGATAATTCTGAAATTGCAAACCAAGAAATTGTTTTTCCTCTGGTTCAGTACCTGGAATGGAGTTGATTCCAAAAAACAATCTTGTTTCAGAACTTTTGGAGTGAAAATTATTTTTATTTGTGTTTCAAATAGAACACAAAAGTAGTTGATTCGAGATTCATAAATCTGCTGTGTTTTGACTAGTTATTCCCTGCTTTTATTTTATTTTCAGATGTGCTTCAGTTTATGGTGTAACTAAAGATTTTGTTTGTGTAATGCATGATTAATACAATAAAGTATTTTTTCTAGTCTTCCACAGAACTTTTCTGATCAGTTTGCGAGTTTTGATGAGTTTTGTAAGGTTTCTGTTTTACAAACTATGAATCAGCAAATTTTTAAGATTGTACCACATAGCAAAAGTACAGCTGTTGAAAAATAATGTATATAAAATGCATATAATAAATATTAAATGGTGTACCTGTATGTTACTGTTGGCTACATTATTTTGTGTTGCACAGTTTGAAAATGTCATTCTACAAATGACTTAATTAGGTCTCAATTTTAGCAAAATGACCATTTGTTTATTATGCTTATAAGCTGCTTTGCTTTTGGAAAATTGTAATAGTTGTCTGGATGTCAACCAACTGTTCAGTTTCAAGCAGCAGTACCCACATATACGAACATGTTTCCACAATATTTTTAAAGACTTTTACAAGAACAAACTGGAAATTGTTGTTGTATTCTTAGACATGATATTCGCACTGTTTTTCACCATCTCTGTATATGAAGTGATTCTCAAGTGATTTAGGAGCCAGAAAGATACTCTTTTTATTCCAGACTGCCACTGAATCATTATGTTGAATTTAAAAAAACCCAAAAACATAAATTTCCAAATGGTTGAAATTTGCCCCTACGTAAAATTGTTACCTATTAACCTGTGTCCGTTTCTTCACAAAACCCTCCAGTAAAGAGGATGCACAGAAGGACAGTCCCAAATGGTTGAAATTTGCCCCTACGTAAAATTGTTACCTATTAACCTGTGTCCGTTTCTTCACAAAACCTCCAGTAAAGAGGATGCACAGGACAGTCTCTTTGCCAAAGGCTGAGCTGGAGGTTGATATTTAGCATCTCTTGGATGAGCCACTTTCCTGAAAGTCTTATCGGCAGAAACAGAATGCCACAATATAAATCTTCCATGTAACAGTATTATGCTTAGGTGTAAATTACCTTGAGCTAGAACATGTTCCTATAAGTGGTTGTCACTGTTATTGTTCCATGTAAGTCTCCAGTTTTGCAGTGAGAATGTATCTCATGCCATCCTGTGTCAAGCAAATTAGATTTTTAAAAAAGAAGAAAGGAAAAAAAAGGTGCTCATGGTAGGCAGAATATTGCAGTTATATTCTGAAATTAATTTTGTTTTGGTAATAGTGTTACTTTGTTCGAAATGTTACAGTAAATTATAATTGTATAGAAATTGGAGAATTTTGTCCTTTATCACGAAGACTGAGGTGAGGCCTTTCAGTAACTGCTTGTAGGACACTAAGACTTTTACTTCTGAAAGTAACATTCAGCTGATTTGCACTTTTTGTTCTTTCCAGTCTAAAGCATTCAACTAATCAACAGACAAAGAGAGTATTTGAATTTTATTGGAAGTAATTTCGTAATTGCCTTTTCTGAAGCCAAACATTGTTTCTGGCAGCTTTTCCAGACTGCTGCATTTTAATGCTTAAATGAAATGTGATTGTTTAATAAACATTGCCATGCATAACATTTACTTTTTTTTTTAATTGTATTAAAATCAAAATGGTAAAACCAAAAATATTTGCTTATTTTCATTAATTGAAGTCTTAATGGTCATCTTAGTTCACTCATAGTGGTGCAGATGCTGTACTGAGGCTTTGTTTATTGAATTTTGACAATAATCTCTAAAACAATCTTAGTTTATTTATTGTGGGGCGTAACATGCTAAAATCTTTATGTTTTTATTTTTTAGAATAGAAGAGCTGTAATATTGGTGATGGGGAAAAAATGACAGTGCTGAAATAAATGTTTTCATTTACCGAAACTGCCTCAACTTAGAAAAGGAGTGATTTGCTTCTCTTTTGTAAGAAGGACCCAAAGACTGGCACTCAGAACCTGAATGGAAAGCTATGTAAATGCGTTTAATAATACACTAGCTTTTAGGATATGATTGATTTTAACAGACGTACTCCCCGTCTTGCTTTTAAAGCAGTAGGAACTGCTGTAAGCAGATGAGTGGTGACTGGAGTCCAGCATAAGTAACCATTTGTATCTACGTAAATACCAAATACATCTGAAAAAGGATGTAACAAGCCTTGATAAAGGATCTTCCCTAATTTAGAAATCCTAAGGAAGAATTTATTTGCCAGGAGACAATAGGTAGATTTTTATCTAGTGGAAAAACTTTGTGGGCTTAAGGACGTGTTAGCAGAGGCAGTCCATTTTTCCTGTGTTAATGGATTTATTTTAAAACTGGTAGCACTCTTTGCCCTGACATACTCTTGTTACTACTTTTTTCTCTAGCACTTCCCCTCTCTAGTCAGTGGAAAACTTCTGGGTCACACAGTGCTGCCTGCTCTTCCTTCTGGGTGCCAAATCACATACAAGGTGTCTCAAACAAATGGATCCCAGTTGAGCAGCAACTGGTGTCTTTGCAGGGAGACTAAACACACAGATAAGGTGATCTGCTGAGAAAGTGGGTGTAGTTGTGTTTGGTTTCACTACAGCGCTTGTTTATATATACATGCACGCACACACACTTTTTTTTTAAGAAATTATTTACAAGAAAAAAAGTTACAAAAACAGATAGCTCCAGAATTGTTTCTGAATGCTACATCTGAGGTGAGCATGAACGGTTTAAGTTCCATACTTTAATACTTGCTTTGTTGATGCCTGGAGAATACACATCCTAAATGTCAAAAATACATGGCTTTGTTTTCTAATTTTAACAGAAACAAGTTTTGACTAACCTGATAATGGAAAGCAACGTACTTTGGTTTTAGTCCTCTTTCTTACCTGGATATCTTGATGGCCTTCTATAAGCAAAGTCATCCAGACTTTCTGAAAGTGGACAGATAGCAACAAAATACTTGTATTTTTTTAATATTTACAGAGTTTGAGGAAGTTCACTGAACTCTGGTGAGATCTGTAGTACTCTAGGTTGTAAGGCTCTTGTTTTCAAGAATGGCTGAAGCTCTTCAGTGCTGTAAAAGTCTCTGCTGAGGACGGTAAACTGAAAGTTGATGTGCGCAGTAGCTATGGTTTAATTTCTTTAAATGCACATCAAACTAATGTTGACACTTAGGTGTTTGTTTGGGGGTTTTCTGTGATCTAGAACCTTATTAGAACAAGTTTTTAGTTTTATAAATATTGATTGTCATACATGTTGAATTTAGAATTGATAGTATTTCCTACGGAAAGTTCATGTCCAGCATTCCAGCTGATTCGGGCTAGTTCCCCTGAAGGAAACTAACTGGAGAGGCCGGCTGGTGTCTAGCCCTTAGCCATGGTAGAACACTGACAGTGGCTCAGAGCAGCGCTAGAGCGTTTAATCTGACGGCAGAGTTCCTGCTTTGAATGTACAGAGTAACGCTAGATTTCTAGCATGCTCTCTGAACTGGAGGAGATGGAAGAACCAATTCCTATGAGCATGTGTCCCCACTTGAAGTTCTCTTCTGGGAACCTAAAGTGTTGATGATTGTTAGCGTCTGACCTCCTAAGAAATAGCAAGTGGCAACTTTAGCCATTTAATAATTTCATACACAAACAACATACACAGTTGTTGGAATATCTGTTGTGTTCTGTTACTTAAATCTTACCAGTGCTAGGGGACTTTTGATGCTCTCATTTTAAATTCAAATTAATTTATTACAGAATTAAAAACTTTCTAAACTGAAGGATCACTGCTGTGAATTTATATATGTATTTATAAACCAGACTACAGGTGGGAATTTAGTAGTGATCTTGTACTAGCTGTGCGAGTTCAAGGCTGCCGCTTTTAAACCGAGCGTTACTGGGAGCTGTATCTGTGTTAGCCAAGTCCAGAAATACTGATATTGCCCCAGTCTTTATAAACAGTGTTAACACTTTGAAAAGTGATGGTCTTTCAAATAAAAATAATGCTAGCTTAATTATCTGGCTATCACAGAACACGTGGGCTGATATTTATAACCTCTGAAGGTGAAACACTCCCTTCTACTTCAGAGAGTACTGGAGACCTCAGAATAAAAATTCCACTTGGTGATCAGGGAGTATTTGCTTTTGGGATGTCTTTGACTTGAAGGTATTGGAAGCCCTTTCACGTGAAGGGAGTGCACACCCGTAAGAACGATTTGCAGCTCCATTCCCAGGTTCCTTTCTGACAAAAATAAATAGGACTGGCTATACAACAACTTTATTTAAGTAGTTTTCAGCATAACTCGAGCTTTTCACAACTGTGTTTTGATAACGTAAATATTTCTCTTCAGTCTTAAGCACTCACTAGTGCTAGCTGACTTGCTAAATTCCTTCTCCCATCTGCTTTTGTCTCTCAGTTCTCAGCTTTTCCTGAAAGCCCCAGAGGCTTTGAGAAACCCGTAGCTCGCGTAAGCGTGGCTGGTAATGACCTTCGGTCGTGAAGCCAGGTGTGAGCTGTGGGAACAGGTGTGTGTTTCAGCTCCTGAGGGTGCCCTGGCGAGCTGTGCACAGGGGCTGGTGCCCACCTGCAGCGGGCGGGCAGGGCTGACGAGACTCGCCCGGCCTTGCTGTCCGCAGAAGGGAGCCACAGCTGCTTCGGGGCTGGGGGCAGAGCGGGGCCCTCAGGAGCAGGGCGGGAGAGACGTGTTCCTCGCTTCCTGCAGCCATCTTGGTGTCCCGGGAGAGCTGCTCGCCTTGCCCGGTGTTGGTCACATCCCCGTGAGGTGTTTCCGGAGGCTTCTTCCAGGCCTCCACCAGCAGCTCCATGTGCCCGGCGACTGCCGGGAGCCGTCGCTTCTCTGGCCGCCAACCTGGGAGGATCTGGGTGAGTCTGAGGCTGGGGGCCGTGGGGGGGGAAAGGACAGTTTGTGTCTGGGGGGGGCTGGGGCT